GTAATATGTTTGAGGGGGCGGGGGGTGGGGGGGGGGGGGGGGGGGGGAAATGACAATCTTTGAAAAACTTTATCAATTTCAATAAAAGTTAAATTTTAATAGTTCTAAAAATGTTATGTAAAATAAGTAAATTAAAAATATTTTCTTTGCGCCTTGAATACATGTTTTTTTTCTGCGATATATATTGTGATATGAAAAAAAATCAGATGACTTCAATAGCTCTATTTGGAAAAAAACTAATCAATGATTGGGGTGATTTTGTAGGCGAGTAAATCAGCATAGGAAATAAATTACAAGCATAGATAACAGAACAAAGATACAAATTAAATAATAAGCAGTGCTTTATATTTTTCAGGCAAGTCTTACGTATTCAGGTACAGAAATTGAATAATCAAATGTAAAATAACACTGCATAGCCTTCACTGTATAAATTAAATCTGATAAATCTGTGTTAAAACTACAAAAGTGAGTTTTCTTTGTGTTTTGTTGTTTGATTAACGTTCATGACAGAAAGCAACAGGAACATTAAACTGCTGTGAACCAATATACTGTTACACATCCATATTCTTTCTCAATTGTTTATCTTCACCTAAGCCATAAGCATCTGTGTTTACAGGGATACTTGCAGAGCACAGTATTTCAGGCACAAATAGATGCAGAAGTGAACAGAATTCGGTGTTCGCGTGCATCTGCGTGGCTCTCACCGTGTCTACACCGGACGCGACACAATATTATAAAACCCATTTTATTCAGTGATGCTGTCTACACTGGATGCGGCGCGACACGACAAATCCCCAGTAAACTGATGCCTCGTTTATGTCGCACAGACACAAAGTTAAAATGATATGCAACGGTCGCGTCCAGTGTAGACAGACTTTGGGGCCGTTCACATGTCGCGCCTAAAAACGCGTGGAAAACGCCAGCTGCGCCGCTCTCTCGGGAGCTCTTGCGCTTTCGTGGCGTCCGTGACCGGCACTCTCCGCGACGACGCGGAAGTTTCAACAAAGGATAAACGTACTTTCAGCACTGAAAATCGCGTGCAGTAGCTCTGCTACTAAATGTATTTAAAATGGGTATCTCTGTACAGCTGTCGCGTCTGGTGTAGACACTGTGTCTGTGACTCAATGTGTGAGCAAAGAAAACTATCAGTATAAATATAATTTTCAGGGGAAGTTGCTAAAGGAAGGTCGATTTGTTGCTAAAAGTTGCTAAATGACGTTGTGATGTCAATGCGTGATGGCGTCATTACGTAATCACGACGCAAAATTGTGTCACTACATTAAAAAATTATTTTTTTTATGTTGATTTAGATTTGTTCGTAAAATAATATAAATGCATAATATAATGTTAAAATATAAATAGCCATTTTTATATGCAACTTTGAATTATTGAACACTTACACATTTTTGAACGATTACAAGTTTTTTTCATTAGCTAGTAAACTAGTAAAACTACACATTCTGAACAATTATAGTTTTAAGCAGTGTATTAGTAGTCAGTATGCTACACTCTAAGAAAAGAATTCACAGGTTTTTACCTGCATTTTAAATTACGTATTGTATTTTGTGTTTCGGGTTACAACGGATAATGTCATGGAAAATTACTAGTACCTTTTCCATTTTTCTAGATATTTTTCTTACAGTGTACTAACTGATCAACAATCACAGGTACAAGCTACTAACGAGGTGTATCATAAATGAACAATTATTAAATTATTATTATTATTATTATCAAATTGAACAATTGCAAATAGCAGTAACTTAATTCACGTGATGTGTGTACTGCTAGGCATCTTTGGTTTCCTATTTTTGTGAAATTTAGATGGAAAATGTGTGCCTTTTTATTGTTTGAGCCACTTATCAAAAGTTGCTAAAAGTAGCCAAATAAAATTTAGAAATAGCTACATTTGTTGCTAGGTGCTTTTGGAAGAAAAAGTTGCTAGGGTAGTCTGGAAAGTTGCTAAATTTAGCAACAAAATTGCTAAGTTGGCAACACTGATAACGAGCAGTGCCTACTAAACATCGCACATCCTGCCATGAGACTATCGCGGATGCGCACATGTATGTGCAGCCCTACATGTAAGAGTAAATCAAAGTAAAAATAAAATCAGTAAAAAAAAGTTTGTAACGATGTCATGAGTTATTAATTAAGAAATATATATAAAAAAAATAGTAATAGAAGCTTATGTCAAGCTACTTAATAAGGTTTCCTTTTCAAGTATTTCATGTTTTAGATTATGATATCAGGACAGTTGTATTATCACCCTGAATTGTTTTTTACCTCCAAAAATGATTTAAAATATATTTTTTAATGAATAATCTATAATTAATTATTATTAATAGAAATGAAAAAGGTGTTTATCATTGAAGAGGTGCATTCTGTGTATGAATTGCATTTTAATGAAATTTTTAGGTAAAGAAAAATAGATCTAGGAAAAAAATAGCATCATCTCATTTGTTGGCCGGTTGTTTTGCAGGGATTGATTTACTAAGTGGAATCATTCCTGAATTATGTGAAAAGCATCCAGATCTCTGCTTTCTGATTGGTGGAGAGGGACCCAAAAGAATCATACTGGAAGAGGTTCGAGAGAAATATCAGCTTCATGACAGGTAAGAAATCCAGTGTGCATGAGAAAGGATCTCTAGCTGTGAGTTTGTGTATAATTTCTTTACCCTCTGTTATTTTTATGTATATAAAGGGTTCGTCTTCTGGGAGCACTGGATCATAAAGATGTGAGGGATGTTCTTGTTCAGGGTCATATCTTTCTCAACACTTCTCTCACTGAGGCCTTCTGTATGGCCATAGTGGAAGGGGCCAGCTGTGGGCTGCAGGTATGTGTGTTTTTTTTATGAATATGTATGAGTGAAATCACATTATGGAAGTAAAATGGGTTACAAATTATCATATCATGTTGACTTTAAGTTGTACAAAAGGATATTGTGTGACATTATGCACAATATATGTTAGATCGATACATGTTTTAAAGGTACAATTAACTGGTTTCCATGTTGTAAGTTTCTTTGGATGAAAATATAACACATGTAATTTATTTATGACTGGGGTCCACAGCAAGGATTTTTGGCCCAGTCTGACTAGCAGTTCAGATTTGTTTACTTTCCTTCCCACACCAGAAATAATACATTTTTATTGTTTATTTTTGTTTCTTGAATTTTTGCTAGAAATATGTATAGATATTGTTTTGTTGAATGTTTTTTTTCCACATTGTTTTCTTTACCAAAAGAAAAGAAACCCCAGGCCAACATGCCATCTTTATTGTTGAGCCCTGATTTATGGATGTTCATCAGTGATCAAATCTAAATAAGCACTGCTCTGTGTGCCTGCGTGTGTACAGGTGGTGAGCACCCGTGTTGGAGGTATACCTGAAGTCCTGCCTGATGAGTTGGTAACTCTGTGTGAACCATCAGTTCATTCACTTTGTGATGGCTTGGAAACTGTAATTGCAAGAATACGAACAGGAAACGTGGCGTCTCCTGCCACCATCCACCGCAAGGTCCGAACATTGTACACTTGGATATGTGAAAAGCATCCAGATCTCTGCTTTCTGATTGGTGGAGAGGGACCCAAAAGAATCATACTGGAAGAGGTTCGAGAGAAATATCAGCTTCATGACAGGTAAGAAATCCAGTGTGCATGAGAAAGGATCTCTAGCTGTGAGTTTGTGTATAATTTCTTTACCCTCTGTTATTTTTATGTATATAAAGGGTTCGTCTTCTGGGAGCACTGGATCATAAAGATGTGAGGGATGTTCTTGTTCAGGGTCATATCTTTCTCAACACTTCTCTCACTGAGGCCTTCTGTATGGCCATAGTGGAAGGGGCCAGCTGTGGGCTGCAGGTATGTGTGTTTTTTTTATGAATATGTATGAGTGAAATCACATTATGGAAGTAAAATGGGTTACAAATTATCATATCATGTTGACTTTAAGTTGTACAAAAGGATATTGTGTGACATTATGCACAATATATGTTAGATCGATACATGTTTTAAAGGTACAATTAACTGGTTTCCATGTTGTAAGTTTCTTTGGATGAAAATATAACACATGTAATTTATTTATGACTGGGGTCCACAGCAAGGATTTTTGGCCCAGTCTGACTAGCAGTTCAGATTTGTTTACTTTCCTTCCCACACCAGAAATAATACATTTTTATTGTTTATTTTTGTTTCTTGAATTTTTGCTAGAAATATGTATAGATATTGTTTTGTTGAATGTTTTTTTTCCACATTGTTTTCTTTACCAAAAGAAAAGAAACCCCAGGCCAACATGCCATCTTTATTGTTGAGCCCTGATTTATGGGTGTTCATCAGTGATCAAATCTAAATAAGCACTGCTCTGTGTGCCTGCGTGTGTACAGGTGGTGAGCACCCGTGTTGGAGGTATACCTGAAGTCCTGCCTGATGAGTTGGTAACTCTGTGTGAACCATCAGTTCATTCACTTTGTGATGGCTTGGAAACTGTAATTGCAAGAATACGAACAGGAAACGTGGCGTCTCCTGCCACCATCCACCGCAAGGTCCGAACATTGTACACTTGGAGAAATGTCGCTGAGCGCACAGAAAAGGTGAGTTTTAATAACATGCTTGAAATATTTGTTGGATGTACACTAACTTTCAAAAAACGATTGGTAAGGTTTTTTTTTTTTTTTTTTATTTTTGATGTCTTTCATGCTCACCAAGGCTGAAACTGGAAATTGTGATAATCCTTGCTAATAAAAGTATACATTTTTTTAAAAATAAATTAGTCTTACTGAGCCCAAACTTTTGAATGGTAGTATATTTTATTATTAATTATTATTGTATAACATGCCCACTCTCTGTGTGTTTGTTTCAGGTGTATAATCGGGTGTGCAGGGAGCCCGTTTTGTCGTTGTCTGTGCGATTGCATAGACTGCGCTCTCACTGTGGTGCCATGGCAGGCTCCATTTTCTCCTTTGTTGCTGTTATCAACTTCATCTTCCTGCTTTTCCTGCAGTGGCTGCGCCCAGATCATCTAATTGATGTTGCTGTAGACTCATCAGGCCCCCACAGCCGCATGGGGCAGCTTCTTAGTAAGAAGAAAAGTAAAGCGCCAAACCCGGCTCTGTCCTGACTAATGATCTAACATGACCTCACAGTAGGCTTATGATTAACTTTATTTAGAAGGGGAAGGATGCAAGTGAACTGAACTAAAACTGTAGTACCGGTACATCATAGTGCACTATTGGCGCTTTTCCACTGCATGGTACGGCACGGTACGGTTCAGTACGGTTCAGTACGGTTCACTTTTAGGGGGCTTTCCACTGGGTACAGTACCTGGTACCTGGTACTTTTTTTAGTACCACCTCGGTTGAGGTTCCAAGTGAACCGTACCATTACCAAAATGTGACATGTAAACTCTGATCACTGATTGGCCGGAAAGAATCGTCACTTCCTGCGTCACTGAACTTGCGACACAAACACAACAGAACCACTAGATTTAAATCAGCACAGCCAGCGAAGGATCGAACGCAACTGTTTTGAACAAGTGCACCTTTTTTAACAACCAAAAAATGGTTGTTTCGTGGTCTGTTGAGGAAGTACAGACGTTCCTCTCCTTGATAGCAGAGGAGCGGATCCAGCGAGAGCTTGATGGGGTGACGCAGAATGAAAAAGTTTTTCAGGAGTCGCGGCGCAACTATAACTTGGAAACTGTAATTGCAAGAATACGAACAGGAAACGTGGCGTCTCCTGCCACCATCCACCGCAAGGTCCGAACATTGTACACTTGGAGAAATGTCGCTGAGCGCACAGAAAAGGTGAGTTTTAATAACATGCTTGAAATATTTGTTGGATGTACACTAACTTTCAAAAAACGATTGGTAAGGTTTTTTTTTTTTTTTTTTTTTTACAATTTTTGATGTCTTTCATGCTCACCAAGGCTGAAACTGGAAATTGTGATAATCCTTGCTAATAAAAGTATACATTTTTTTAAAAATAAATTAGTCTTACTGAGCCCAAACTTTTGAATGGTAGTATATTTTATTATTAATTATTATTGTATAACATGCCCACTCTCTGTGTGTTTGTTTCAGGTGTATAATCGGGTGTGCAGGGAGCCCGTTTTGTCGTTGTCTGTGCGATTGCATAGACTGCGCTCTCACTGTGGTGCCATGGCAGGCTCCATTTTCTCCTTTGTTGCTGTTATCAACTTCATCTTCCTGCTTTTCCTGCAGTGGCTCCGCCCAGATCATCTAATTGATGTTTCTGTAGACTCATCAGGCCCCCACAGCCGCATGGGGCAGCTTCTTAGTAAGAAGAAAAGTAAAGCGCCAAACCCGGCTCTGTCCTGACTAATGATCTAACATGACCTCACAGTAGGCTTATGATTAACTTTATTTAGAAGGGGAAGGATGCAAGTGAACTGAACTAAAACTGTAGTACCGGTACATCATAGTGCACTATTGGCGCTTTTCCACTGCATGGTACGGCACGGTACGGTTCAGTACTGTTCACTTTTAGGGGGCTTTCCACTGGGTACAGTACCTGGTACTTTTTTTAGTACCACCTCGGTTGAGGTTCCAAGTGAACCGTACCATTACCAAAATGTGACATGTAAACTCTGATCACTGATTGGCCGGAAAGAATCGTCACTTCCTGCGTCACTGAACTTGCGACACAAACACAACAGAACCACTAGATTTAAATCAGCACAGCCAGCGAAGGATCGAACGCAACTGTTTTGAACAAGCGCACCTTTTTTAACAACCAAAAAATGGTTGTTTCGTGGTCTGTTGAGGAAGTACAGACGTTCCTCTCCTTGATAGCAGAGGAGCGGATCCAGCGAGAGCTTGATGGGGTGACGCAGAATGAAAAAGTTTTTCAGGAGTCGCGGCGCAACTATAACGACAAGTGAATAATCCCGCCCACTCTAAAGCGGTACTAAACTGTAGTGGAAACGCAAACCAAGCCGAGCTGAGTCATGCCGAGCCGAGTCGTACCACGCAGTGGAAAAGTGCCATATGATACATCAAAATGTGCTGACTACTGTTTACATTCCTGTATAAAACAGTGACCTCAGGTGAAGAGAAAGCTTTTAAAAGCTATCCTCAGTCACTCCTATAGTCCAGCGCCTGCTTTTACACATTGAAAACCTGCCTTTAAGTAAACCCCCATCAGAAAATAGTCTAAACTTGTTGAAATTGTTGCACAAATATCTTTAAATGTCTAGATTCAAGATAAATGACAAACAGTGCTAGCTTTTCCTGTCTCACCTTTACATTTTTTCATCTCACAGCATATCTGTATGGTGTAGATGAGATTTATACTGACATAAATTAGCTGAATTGAAAGTTTTAATACCAAACACACAGTTTTTGAGCTGTAGTGGAGCTATAAAATGTAAGATGCATCTTATTTGTTTATTTCTTTGATCTGACAGTGCTTGTTTCTCTTTAAGCCTGTTTTTATTTCCATTGCTACTTTTTTTATTGACTTTGGATAATGGTGTGAATGTATTTATTTCACATGCAGCACACTCGTTTTAGGGCGCTATACTTTACTTTTCAAACTCACTTTTTTGGTATTTTTTATTAACCTCTGTGAGTATTGTGAACATGATTTTAATGCACAAAGGTTAATTCTATCTGAGAAAAGCTGTAAATTTGAATTATTTTTGTTGACACAATAAACTTTATTAACATGCCATAAGTATGCATTCTTTTATTTTTTAACTTTGAATGAATGCATTTGTGTGTGCTTTTAGGATTTTGTCCACACAATAACATAAAATGGATGTACAAATTTACTTTAAATATGCAGCTGTTGAGTGTAAGTGTGGCACCTTATGGTAAAGTAGTTGTTTTTGTTGTAGATAACCGTCAGGGTTTGGCCTGGATCCTGGCCTTGGTCTGGATCAGGAATCTTATGCTAACACCAAAAACAAGGCAGATAATACACACCCTCATCCATTCAAGGCTAAAACCAGGAGCCGTTAACACACACTTATCGCCCGTTCTGTCTGCTTTCACACACATGCACATTCAATAGCCACCCTATCCAGCTAGAACGGTCTTGTTCCTGCATAACACTGCATGTAAATCATGTTTTGCTGGAGAGGCAGATACTGTATCACCAATTACATTTGCAGTTACACTGGCTTTGGTTCATGGTTCCTTTTGGTTTTAGCCATTTCACTTGCTGTATTTGCAAAATCATATCTATTTTTGAGTTTGTAGATCAAAGTTTGTACTTTTAAGAGGAACCTACCGAGTCTTGACTTGCTGTAACAAAAGTTTCATTTATTTCAATGATTTGTTCTCTGAAACTGCTTAAAGGGGCTTTGTATATGTATGTTTTTAACTCCGTTTTAGTTCCTCTGTCCTTTCGTCTCATTTTGAGGGGATGTGTTTATGCGGGGGATGCTCACCTCTCGAGTTTGAGGAGATGGGGGTGCAAACACATATCACTGATAACAGTGGGAGGTGCATTCTTGCCAAGGGGGGTTCTTGTTTCTCTGAAGGCCATATAAACTCTGAAGAGTTTCTCTGTGCTCCATTATCTCAATTGTTCTCTTCCTGCGAGGTCTCTTCTTGTGAAGTTTAAAGATGGCTGTGGTTCAAGCTGAAGTGAGTGTCTGGAGTAAGCCATGGGATCACAGGCTTAACCTATACGGAGGACAAGTGTGTAATACATTAATGGCAGGTGAGTTTTCCTCCTCTACTTCTGGTGTTCTCTCTCTTCTTAATTGTTTTCAGTAGTCAAACATACTATGTTTACCACAAGGACCAAGCTCTTACTATTTTCACTTCATACATTTTTTTACACTAAATTATTGAATTGTTGTGATATCCACTAAATTGTCATCACTGGCGTATGAAACATGTACCATGATAGTAGCACCAAGTCAGTGTTCCATTCAATTATACACACTGAAAATAGAAAAAGGAAACTGAATTTGTTTTGGAGTGATGATCGAGATAAACCTGTTTGAATTTTCAGCTGGACTGGTTTTGGATACATTTATTCTAAAAGAAAGGGATTGATTTTAGAATAAATGTACTTGGTTTACTTGGCTATACTTTGGGGATGAAATTGTCCCTGGATGTTTGCTAATTTGACCTCTCATTGAGGTCAGAGCTGTGACTCGGTGGGCTATGCACATGCTCAAAACATATACGACCCATTGGCTTTCAAGGCAATGGCTACCGTCAACAGTTTGGTTTGGAACAACTTGAGTGAATTAAATATAAGAAAATATCCATTTTTGGATGAACTATCCTTTTAAAATGCAAAAAGTGTTCTTTTAGGAGTGGGATTGGTTTTGTCTGTATATAAACATTATTATTATCTTAAAAACAACAAAAGTATATATGCATGTAATTTAAATATCCGTGTAAATGTCTGTCTCTGCTTATAGGTTCCTGGGACGACAGAACACCTCTACACGATGCTGCTTTGCAAGGAAGATTACTGCCACTGCGAAGACTCCTTTCACAGGTACTGATGGAAGAAACACTGGCATAACATTTTTCAAACTGAATAGCTAAATAAATAAACTATTTAAACACTTAAATTACACTTACACATGTATCATCGCACTAACATAAAAATCAATCCAAGTGGTACTTTGTAGGTAACTGTTATAAGAACAAACTTTGTATGAACCAAATGCTTACATTTATGAATGAAGAAAATGAATTGTCCATGTTTACATGTGTAAAGGGGTACAACGTAGGAATGGCTACATTAGATGGAATCACACCACTGCATGAAGCATGTGTTGGAGGCCATTTTACCTGTGCTAAACTTCTCCTGGAGCATGGTGCTGATGTATGTATATACCTTTCTCTTTATTTACAGTATCTGCCGTTATTTTGCTCACTGTCTCTGCATCAACATGTATTAATGGCTGACATATATATGCATGCAGGCCAATGCTGTCTCTTTTGATGGAGCCACTCCTCTCTTCAGTGCATGCTGTAGTGGAAACCCCGCCCTTGTCAGCCTCATTCTGATGTACAGCTCTGTCCACCATCCAGCTCATCTGCAGAGTTCACCTCTCCATGAAGCAGCAAAGAGAGGTATGTGTGATGATTTGTGTCAATTTGCAATGCACTGCAAACATTGGGATATCAGTAAATGGGATGTCTATGTGAGCATGTTTTAGGTCACACAGCATGCGCTGAAGTGCTGCTGTCTCATGGTGTGAATGTGGACATGGAGGTTCCCAGCATAGGAACACCGCTGTACTGTGCATGCGAATCCAAGGCAACAGAATGTGTACAGAGCCTGCTAATCTCAGGTCAGACACACCACACTTAATGGATTAATAAATTCATTTTTAGGGTCATTATGACCATTACAGGGAAATCATTTTTTTAATAATGCATTTTACAGTAATACATTGTTTAATTTTGTTTGTTCTTAAAGGTTCATTACATTCCGTAGTACAATAACAAACATATCCTATAAAGATCATGTTTTCTCTTTTTAGAAATATTCTTAAATAGTACTAAACAAGGCCAATGTCAACAATGTGCATGTATTTGTAATTGTAATGCAAGTTTTTAAGTTTTCATTTAATATTTATATAAATTATTATAAATATATAATTTTATATTAAAATATATTTATTTTATTTTATTTCAGCTTTATTTTAATACCTAAAATGATTTCCAATAGTTTTAGTTTTAAAAGTCAAAGTTTATCAGTCAATTATTTAATTGTTTTATTTTTTTTAATTGTCATATGTACAGGGTACAGCAATAAAATTCTAAACAGGCAGTGCAAACAAGCTACACAGACATACATGTATAGTATATACAGTGCTGTATGTATATGAATGTATAAGTATGCATATAAAGTTAAATTATTGAATAGATTATTAAATAGCATCAGTACTCAAATGTAGCAGTAAAATATGAGAGGTTCTCAAGGTTTTAGTTAATAATAACAAAACTGTTAATGAGAATAAGATTGTTTTTCAATACAGTAAAAAAAATTGGGGGGAATTTTAACACTGCTTCTTGTTTCTCTCAAGGTGCTGATGTGCAATGTGGGCGGGGCCTTGACACACCTTTACATGCTGCAACCAGGGTGAGGGGGGCAAAGGAGGTGGAACTACTGTTAGAGCACGGGGCAAATCGGACGTCAAGGAACTCTGAGGGAAAGAAACCTTTGGAGTTGACAACAGATCAGAGCATCAAACATCTTTTGCATACTACAGGTAAATATAAACACATAAGATATAAACACTCATTGTCCCGCTGTATGCTGCGATACTGATTCTAGTTTGGTTCTGCAGGTCCGTGCTCCCTGTCTCAGCTGTGCAGATGGTGTATTCGACGTTCCCTGGGACAAAAAGGACTAAACAAAACCAAGATGCTTTGCTTACCACATACCCTGCACAGTTATCTTCTCTATCATTAAAACACACATAAACATTCCCTGTCTAGTGTCCAAACACGATTCAGTAATCTTGTTCT